CATAAGTATTTTAAATGTAATATACATAGATACGCTTCTTAAAAATAAATTCGTGTTTATTCTTTAACGGTTGCGATTTTACAATAATAACTTATAAAAAGTCTCCAAAAAATATGCTGGATTAAGGATTTAAAATTTTTCAGAGCTTTATATATGTATATAAAGCTCATATTATATACGTTTTAAAATGTAAAGTTAAAGGTACTTAAATATTTCAAAACAAAATTGACCTATACAATCGAGAGGCCCCAGAAATAATTCAATTTGACAGTTCAAATCCCAGTATTTATGAGGCTAATTTATTTTGTTATTAAATGATCAAATTTTGCAATAGCAATCTTAATTTACATTTAATAAAGTTGAAATATTATATTTAAATAGGATAATTATTATAATTTTGCTGGAGAAAGTCTGCCACTTTTAATCTTAATAACTCAATAATAGTTACTTAACTCTATATTAATTATTAAGTGACTAATTAATTAATCTACCAAAATAATACTATAAACTATATGCTAAAACTAAACCAAACAACTACACAATAATTAATTTTGTTATAATTAAATATACGTTCTAATTGTGTTGTAAGATCTCAAGAAGAACTGTATTAAAAGCTCCCAAAACCAACGTGCTTGCGTAAAATGTATGAATGTGGAAAACCCAAGGGACAGTTGTGTCAGGACCACGTTAAATGGAAGAACGTAGTCTCTGCCTACCCCTTTGGGTTACGCGCATGAGTAGTGTTGTATTATTAGAACCTATATGTAACAGAGAATGAGTTAAGACTAGATTTAAGGCTAAATTCATCGTTTTAAAAGAGTTACTTTCACTAAAAATAATTATGATAATTCAAAGCAAAATTAAACTAATTATCGTAATTTTTAAACAATTTACATAAAAAATATATCATTACTTAGACACAAAAGGTATTGAAAAGTTTTAAGTAACACAACGTTTTAATTTACTTTGTTCAACGAAGTTGGGCAAAGTCTTAAATTTAATAACTACCACAAACTTTCGTAAACTTCGCTACTTCAAATTTACTACTACTCGTGTTAATGTTCCTATTTAAATATACGACGTCTGTACTAAAATTTATATTGAACAGGCTATTTTCTTTATTTATAACCTAGCAAAATTAATTTAAAATGACCTAATAATTTATTGCACATAGAAAAGTTCCATAAAGTCGTGATAGTCTGTTTTAGAAGTTCATCATTATCAACATCACCTGTATCTACCTACTGTTGGACAAAGGCATTACTTAATCAAATATCAGGACCAGTTAAATTAAGCAAAATTAACGTCTTATAGCAATAATTCGCTTAGAGCTGAAAATTGCTAAGAATTGCTCATAGTGAGCGACGGGCCGCGTCCCCGAAATAATACCAGTTCCACTCACCCTGATGAAGAGCCCCCGATGGGCTCGAAACTAGTCGGTGCCGCCACCGGACGAATGTACATGATTGTTTACCCGTTCTTATATAAGTTTGAATACTTTAAGTGGCATTTCAGGATTTATTAAGTGCCTCCTTAAATCAAGTCCTCAGTATAGTTGTTGGAGTTGCAAATTTAACAATTTATTTCTTTAGTAACTGAATATCTTTTGCAAAATGCACTGTGGAAATTCTTTTTGTTGCTTAAGAGCTAGACAAGCGAGGAGGTAAATTAAACAAGTTTAAAATATCAAGTTTAAGTCGTGGAATAAATACGCTTAGTTGTTCATTTTCCGAGAACAATGCGAAATTGAAACTACTTACTTGGAACTAAGGCTTAAGGCATTCTAACTTTAGGTACACTTGTTTTATTGTTTATGCCAATCGAATATGTGAAAATAAATAAGCTTAAATTTTTTTCTTCTATTTTCTCATTAAATTAACTTCTAGAAGTTTAAGATTTCTTATTTTTAATCTTATACCATTACCAATACCAAAACTTAGGAACATTATAATGCGACTGTTTAGATGGATGGATGGATGTCTGTTTGAAGGTATCTCCAGAACGGCTCAGGGGATCTTGATGATGATGAACATAAGCTACTCATTAGGTTTTTTTAATTCCGCGTGAAAGGAGTCGTGGCCTAAAGCTAGTTTTTTTATAAAATCTATTTTTTTTTAATATTTTTGGTTCTGAATTTTTTGAGAGAATATTATTTTTAAATCGTCCGATTTTATTCATCTAATATAAAACTTATCGGAATACATATATCCTACACCACACGCCCGGTACGTGTAAAATACGCGGCTAGCGATTTATCCACTATTTTATTGAAAAGGGGAAAGTGTAATATTTTACTTCCTTTACCTCGCTATCTCTTTATCATGAACTGAGGTAAGATTTTTCCAGTTTCTATTCATAGATAGGTTACATAAAAAGACAGAAAGATAATGTTTCACACAGAGAAAAACCAAGGACTTATCTTTTCTAAATAAACTATTTAAAAATACAGCTCTATTAAAATATTTCAAAATTAAAAACATAATCTTTTATGAAGGTCACGTGATGTGTTTTTCAACGCTCAGTACCTAATCTTCTGACAGGGATGCTAATTACAGATTGTACGAGATAAACTGGGCTCTAGTTAAAATGGCTGCAGACGACTGATAAGGACGGTAAAAATTGTGCTCTTTTATCCTCACTTAAAAAAAGTAAAACACAAAAAAATCTTATACATCCTTTGAAGCTTTTTTTAAATGAATTTGCAAATAATTACAACTGGAAAAGACTTTTTAAGGTTCTTCACCGCATAAGATTTAATATTAATTAACTTGATTTTGGTTCAACTGTGATTTGCATAAGATTAACTACGCGTGACATATTAGAAATGTAATATATCACGTTCATACATAATCCGAACAAAGCCTTAATAAATCTTTGTCAAAGTATATTATGTTTACTACCTCTGATATTATATTTCTTACTTCTTGTCGGTAAACTGAGATTACATTCAACATCTCTACATACTTTGTAAGACATGCAAATATTTTATTTTACTCTACACTCTGTATGAAGCTAATAAATTGATGACCGAAGTACATACACTGCCTGAAGTCGGGAGAATTTCTTTACATTACAGCAAAATTACGCAGGAACCCTATGTTCAATAAAGTTCACGTGTATTATTTATATAACATTGTCTTATTTCATTTAAACTTTGTAAATCTATATATAAAAGAAAGTCGTGTTAGTTACACTCTTTTTCTAACTCAAGAACGGCTTTACCGATATGGCTAAAAATTGGCGAGGAGGTAGCTTAGAGCCAGGAGACGGAAATAGGACACTTTTTAATCATTTTTTTTCGAATTTATGCCTTGAAGAGCTGCTTATTATTTAACTTACTAATATTATAAATGCGAATGTTTAGATGGATGTGATGTGGATGTATGGAAGGGTGGGCTACACTAATTAAGTTTTTTTATATAATCACGCGGACGGAGTCGCGGGCAAGAGCTAGTAATGAATATTGTACCAACTATTAAAATATTACTTATTACTTATGTTATAAATGCGAATGTTTAGATGTATGGATGGATGTTTGAAGGCCAGAAAGGCTGAACAGATAGCGATGAAATTTGGTATAGATATAGAACAGTCTGGAAGAACACTTAGGGTCCTATTTAAGTTTTTTTTATTTCCGCGCGGACGGAGTCGCGGCCGACAGCTAGTATACTATAACGCATAACTGAACACAGGATTCGCTATTTTTAGATAAATTGTTAATCGTACGGGCTCCTACAACGTTCTATTCCCCAGTATTCGAGCATTGAAAATTCCGCTCCAATAATCTTTATCCACTTCGCTTACTCTAAATAAGATTTCATATTTTTCACTAAAATATAGAATTGAAAGAATTAAAAAATAAAATAGCACAGACGTAATAGAAAATAATATATCTCATTGCATCAAATTATTTGTATTAAATAGAAAATATTTTACATTCAGATATAAAATTGTATCCAAATTGTTGTACGCTTTATTATATTTCAATATTTTATCTGTTTTGTCTAGAATAAAACAGAATGAAGTTATTATTTGTCATTGTACTTTCTGATATTACACAAAGTTATACAGAATTAATGATGCATGCAGCTATTGAAAACCGACCAATATCCATTGATCCTTCTATAGTATTCAAATAATGGACAAATTCTTACAAGAAATACAAAAAATATATTTACGTAGACCATATTAATTTGGTTAATAGTATGTAAAAAGTATTTTAAAAATTGACGTATTACGTATTTTGTTAGAAAGTGATAAAAGAACAGTAATGACCAAGAATATTATCTAAATATTTTTTCTTCATTTAGGTTAAACTGAATATTTTTTAAAGTAGTTATAACCGATGTGCTCTATTGTATCATATTATTTTCTTTTTTATAGCATAAAGGTAAAAAAAATTGTTTACAATTAACCAAGTGTGAACTAAGTACGAGAATTTGAAATAACTAGTAGTAGTATTCTTATTAAGCGGTAGTCAATCTTCTTAATACCTTAGATTAACAGTAAGTAGTTTCTCAGTCAAAGTCTTGTCTTGGCACAGGTCAAATCAATCAAGTGCCACATCGAATCGCGACGTAAACAATCACCTATTAGCAAATTACGATCGTCGATTTATACAGTAATTTGACAAATGCATAACAAAAGAAATTAGGCTGCATGATATGAAAAGAAGCCGAGAAAAGCCAAAGAGGTTGTTTAGAACCTGACTAATATTTATCCCATTTGTACCTTAGAAGGTCGAACACTGCGCGTTAAAATGTTGGTTAGTATTTGGTTGATATTTCAAGTAAATCAGGATCCATAAATACTAAAAATAAAAAGAAATTTAGATGCGCCACTGAAAAATGAAATGTGCAAATTGTAGGAAAGTATTACCTTTAACAGATGTATCAATAGAGTCACGATTTATTTGTTATCGCGTTACGTAATTGTCACCGCTAGCGGCTGAGCTAACTCGGTCGCAGCGAGGACGCGAGGACATCCGAGCTGAACGAGCGTCGCGCTGGCTGCCCGCCGCAATCTGTGTACTTTAATTTATATTAAAAAAAAAACTTGCTTTCCAAATTTGAAAATGCAATCTTTAATCGTTTTTATTAATCTGTGCATGGTTGCAGTATGTGGACAGGACTGCAGAGTTCGCGGACAATGGGTATGATTATTTTGATTAAACAAAAAAAAGGAATTAAAAACATTTATCCTATATTTTAGCCAATTTATCCTGTACGGGGCGGTGTGATACCAGGACATCTTGTTTCGTGGTCCTATGTACCACTAGGCCCTTCAAATTATTACTTTTTATAGACATTTTTTTTAAATTCTTATTAAAACAGTCTTTTGTTTTGCTACAATATACGGATCGAAGTCAAACTGGATTGAACCCAGAACAGTCCAGGCCCCACGTAGTTCATAACAAATTTTACAACCTCATGTTCAATTTTTTTTTTCATTTTCAACATTTTCAATTTTTATAATACAAAAACGACAAAAGTTAAGATATATATTTGTTTTTAGCTCTGTTCTCAATTATTACAAGCAAAAGGTAAAAAATAAGGAAATTGCAATATATCGTGAACACAATCGAAATTCCACATACCTGTTATATGACAATCTCTAAAGTTTTTCCTCAAAGACTAAAGATTGCAACAAAGATTTTCCACCATAACAATTGCAACACGTATTTACGCTTATTATATTTTGTTTTCTTTTTTATATTTAATGTCATTTGATATATTTTCTTATTTCAGTGCGCAGATCATGAATATTGTTGCGGTGGTTGCTGTTTTGATAACATATGTTATGACAGTATGTACTATTTCCCACGATATTTGCATTTATTAGTTAGTTGAATTAATGTAACATAATATTGTTTATAACATCACTGATTACTTATATTCTCTATTATTCACTAACTATTTTGGTCTGCCAAAGATACATTTGAAATACGAAAATCGAAAACGCATCTGTGCATGGCGGGGTTCGAATCCGGTTTCGACTACAACCTATCGGAGCGGTCCTGTAACCACTGCGCCACCGACACTCATCTGAATATTAATTCTTGTTACAGCTTACAGATCCTGTCTGGCTCCCTTTGACGTTTGCAAAGACTATCCCTGCAGGGGAGAGGAAAATTGTTTTGTTTATAAGCCCCCAGAATGTCGTGGCTGTGAGCCCATACCTTTATGCAGACTGGAAGAGCCTTAGTGAAAGATTTACTACGGTGAAGATATTGCGATGGAATTCACACCATTTATTGTCTATCATACCTGCTTCTAGAAAGAGATACTAAATCAGAAGAATGAAAATTATTGGTGAAGATGAATCGATGTGCTTGAAGAAAAACAAAGATATAAGATGTTGAGAAGAACAAGTTTGTGAGTTGGTTTTTCAATAAATTATGTTAAATCACATTTTTTTTATATAAACATCCTAGTAAGATAATTAAATAATTTTACAGGCCATAGTAAGAAATATGAGCGCCTAATAATTTACTAATAGATTCTAGATTTAATTATTCCGTTACAGATTGACAGTGTCAAAGTAGTGTCGGATATGTCAACTTGTCTTCAATTGTCACAAACTAAATTTTACCCCCTTATATAACATCACATTTCCATTCACTTAAAACGGTTGCCTAATGGATGAACAAAGTACCTCAATTGTATATTCTCGTCGTTTGACGTCGCTCTGATATTAAAGTGGAAAATGATGTTATAATGAAAAGTTATACTGTTTGTTAGCACTCCGAAATATTCGTATATTTTAACATTGCCGCCATTTTAAGAGGCATCTCAGACGTTTCATAAACATAAGTATAATAACAGACAGGACATTACGAATCAAACCGTACTCAAAGATATATTACCGGTATTCCGTATCACATTATGGACTTAATGTGCCAATAGTCAATATTCCGTGACAGAAATTTTGCTTAAAAATTTGTAAGAAAGTCTGCTCTATAACTAATATTATATATGAATCTCTTTGGAAGCATCTACAGTTACACTGAAATGCGTATATAACGTCTGTTAATGTAGATTTAAAGTGAGTAATCTATACTAAAACACTGCTTAAGTCACCTGGGGACCAAGAACGAATATTGGCGTAATATTTTTTCTATCTTGCTGTTTCACCCTTGTAAAGAGATTTTTCCGTAATAAATAAAACAACAAAACGATCTGTTAAAACCAGCCGTCACTTTCACTAAAGGCACAGTTCTAAGATCTTCAGACGATAAATCTCTGTGAAGTTGAAGACGTAAAATTGGGAAAATATAGTGCGGAAGGTACCCTTTTAATGTTCAATAAATCGTAAAAGTTCCAGTTACTTTTACTTAGACCTTTGATGTATATAAGGCCTTTACGTATACAAATGTTTTTTATGTCAATGTTATTACTTTAAACTTAAGCAAAAGAGATCAACAAGCAACAGTTTGAATACGAACCCTGTATATTTAAGTTTATTTTTTTATTTTATACTAAATGATAATTGATAACATAATGGATCCACCGACATCTTTAATCAAAAGAAACCTTGAAAAATTGCATCGATATCCCTCAAGAGCTTTAAACTGAAAGCTATAATTTCACTGAACAGGTAATTATGAGGACACAATTTGCGGTTGAAGGCGATGTTTGTCTGTGTACGATAATGACAACACTGATGGATCAACCACATGACCGCAAATGCAATTTTGAACAAACAGATTAAAACAATCATAGTTTGGCGGTTGAAAAGTGTTCATATATACGTTAATTAAAATAGACGGTTTCCATTCCGTGTTTTCAAAGCAATTAGTATGGTAATTGTGTTGGAGATGTGTCCTTGCTTACTCGCTTCTCTCGTGAATCTAGGCCCTCACATTGTTTAAATGCGACATAATTGATGTACTCAAAAGCATTTCCATGTACACTACTGACTAAAATCTGCTCCTTTAATAACTTTATCTTGCGTTTAGTGGAACCTTCGTAGGTAATGTTTGTTTGCGTTTACTCTAGGGTCACGTAATTTGTGTTAAATTTTGCTACAGTTACTCAACTACTCTATTAGCGTATGCTTCTTCTATTCATTAGGAATTATAATCTTACATAATAACCAACTTTTTATTTTTTATACAATTCCCACATCGTTTCGACAAACAAAGGAAATGGCATTCCGTCAATGTCGCCCACAGCCGCTACATTGTAAAGAAGCCTTAAGAATAACTCGTCAAATTAAACATGACAGTAAGAGCAGTGTAATTTATCAAAATTATGAATAGCAGAATTTTATTTACAAAAATATTTTTTTAAGGTTTAAGATATTTTTTAGGGTTTCGTACCTCGAAAGGAAAAAACGGAACCCTCACAGGACCACTTTGTTGTCCGTCCGTCTGTCATTATCCTTTTTTCATCAATTCAGAATTTTAGTAGAAGTGAGTGTTACGTTAAATAATAGCGTTTATTACACTGATAATTCAAAATAACGTATCCGTGTGCTTATAAACGATTGAAATTAGTATTTAATCAGGTATTAAAAGTCCTTGCTGTATTAATTTTTGCCTCTTGGCTTCCTCTTTAGCGAGCCTCTCAGCCTCCTTCCTCTCTTCTTCTTCCTTCTCTTCTTGAGCCTTCTTTATAGCCATTGCAGCTAACGTCTTTTGATCTAATTTAAAGAAGTTTATCGGTTCCTTGAAGAATTTCTGATCGGAATTATTCATTAGCTCAATAAATTTAACATAGTTGAATTTACCGTCTAACGGAGTAAAAGTTTTATTTTTTGTCGCCACTTTTATAAAGTCAACAAATTCAATTTCCAGCAAAGGTTCACCCCAAACCATTAGTTCCTCTTTGAGCAATTCTAAATCTGTTATTCCAGTTTCTTCATCGTCGTGTCCTATGGTTGCCATGGCTTTTGTAACTGCTAATTCGAAGTCATCACCCATATTAATTTTAGCTTCAATCATAAAAAGCCACTCAAAATACTCGACCGTGTCTACGAACTCGTCTTCTAGAAATTTCTCATACAGAAACTTGATTTCTGCTCCTTTTGGATTAAAACCAAGTTTTCTTAACATTATCGGGATTTCTGGCAACTTCACCTGTATATACAAAAAATATCTTGTACGGCAATCGGAAATAATACTAGACCACCAAACCACAACAATTTTACTAGAATCATGAGCCAAAAGTTTTTAAGATACGATTATTTATTTTCAATAGCTGAGAAAAGAGACTACCAGCAACGTATGATTTGTAAATTCCCTTGTTTTAACTGTAAAAACTAAAAGTCATCACTAAATCTAACATAACTTAGCTACTATAATGGGAACTCAATGTAAAATAATCCTTTTTAGCATTTAAGTATACTGCACCTTATCAATATTATCTTCGTCGTGTGCTTTAAAAACTTCCTTAAATCTTGCTAAATCTTCTGGAGAAAAACAAGCTGGAGGAGGAGGAATTTTTTTCGGCTTCGGTGGAGGACCCATTACCAGTTTTGGTGGTTCCTTTTTTTGTTCTTTACCTATAAGATTATATTCATATAATCGGGGACCAACAAAAAATATTCCTAAACTACGTTACTGATGATAAGTCTAGTGTTTGGACGAGAGTATTTATACTAAATACTTAAACATTTAATGTGATTTAATTTCTGCAAATCTTACCTTTTTTGGGCTTAGGCGGCATTGTTCACTTACTCTATAACGGATTATTGGAAATAAATAAAAAATATAATTAGAAAATCATATTTGTCACATTGAGTAATTTGGACAGCAAATGCAAATTGACACTTCAAAAATGACATAAGGTATTATGAAAAAATTGGTTTAAAAAATCTAGGACAAAACGTTTTATAAAATTAAATGGTAATCCCCTAAAAATTTTGATTTTAGTTTTAGGAAAATAATTCTGTTTTCCGTTTAAAATTACGAAGTAGCATCTAACCACGAACACAGGCTTTCGAATGGTAAACAACTGATCTGGAAAATGCTATACGAGCATCTGCCAAACTTTTACTGAGACCGGCGTAAAAAGGACTCCAGAATCTCGATAAGCAAATGTTATTGCGTGTCTAACAAAAGTAGCCACATTTTCAATCTACACCGCTCTTTAATTCGATTGTTCGCACTATAACGTCTCATTTGCCGAATGCGATTGCGAAATTATTGCGCGGAAGGGACAATAAAAGCCTGTTTGTTAGTAAAACGTAAGAACTGATATGAACAACCATCATTATACTTTTAATAAATTCGTCAACTGATTCTTAGGTGCTTGTTTTAAATAATATGATTATTCGCAGTGATATATATTTAATTTAAAAATAGACACTATCTTATTATCTTACCTTTTTCGCTTTTAGATTTTTTGTAAAAATGGCGCGAAATGCGCAAGCACAGGCAATCAAATTTCACAGAACAAACATTATTTTTTTATATTTATTTTGTAAGCTATTTTCATCTTATCTAATTTCTTTATTATGTTGAAAAATAGAATAATTGTTTCATCGACTAACGACTTTTGGAAAAGCAAGGTTACCCGTGACCTGTTTTCAAATGTATGTTTCCGAACGTTCGAACGCTGTTTAAGAAAATGGAATAGACGCCAAGTTTGACATTACATTACGTCCGATGTTTGGTTTTTGGTTTGATGGTCACATTTGTATTTAAAATAGTTAATATTTATACTGTAAAACAGAACACATAATTTAGTAAGATCAAAATGGTTGCACGCATAGCAGGAGTATTTGATGAAAAGTTAACGGAAGCAATAGCAAATTCTAAGATACTAGTTGTAGGCGCCGGTGGTATAGGTTGTGAAATTTTGAAGAATCTCGTTTTGACCGGCTTTCCACAGATTGAGATTGTACGTAAATTTCTCTACATTTTTGTTTGTATTGTATTGTACTGTTATTCAATAGAAATACGTTTTTCAGATCGACCTTGACACCATCGACGTAAGCAACCTAAATCGACAATTTTTATTCCATAAAGAGCATGTTGGGAAGTCGAAGGCACAAGTGGCTAAAGATAGTGCTCTAAGTTTTAACCCCAATGTGAATATCGTTGCACATCATGACAGTGTTATTAGGTTGGTAGAAAAACAACACATTTTTATTGATATATCCATGGCTATTACTTAAGGGTTTTGTTACTTTGTAATGTTGTAAATATAGGTCTAGAACCGTTTTGCTCATTTGTACCAGTTGTAGAACTTATTATTAACTACTTTATATACTTTTATTTCCAGTAATGACTACGGTGTGAGCTACTTTAAACATTTCAACATTGTGATGAATGCTCTCGACAATCGGGTGGCTCGTAATCATGTGAATAGAATGTGCCTCGCTGCCAATGTGCCTCTCATTGAAACGGGAACAGCTGGATATGCAGGACAGGTAAATACATTAATCATTACTTAATATATAGATTATAAATAATTACAAAGAGTCATGGCAGTTGTCTCTTTTAAGATGAAAACCAACATTTATACTTACATTTCTCATTTATTGATTGATTGTTTAAATTAAAATAATGTAATAGTAACAGATGGGGTATATATGATAATAATGATGAATCAATGCATACTTTTCTCACTAATTTTAAAATAATGTACTTTAGCAACTCTTATATGATATTTATAATAACTTAATTGTATTTCCAGGTGGAGCTAATTAAAAAAGGTCTGACACAATGCTATGAATGCCAACCTAAAGCACCGCAGAAAACATTCCCTGGTTGCACAATCCGTAACACACCTTCAGAACCAATACATTGCATAGTATGGGCCAAACATCTGTTCAATCAGTTATTTGGTGAAGAAGACCCGGATCAAGATGTCAGTCCGGACACAGAGGATCCGGAAGCAGCTGGAACAGCTGGCAAAACCGCATTATCGTCACAGCAAACTGAATCTGGCAATATTGAGAGGAAAAGCACACGAACATGGGCAGCGGAAACTAATTACAACCCAGAAAAGTTATTTACGAAGTTGTTCGGTGATGATATCAAGTATTTGCTTTCAATGGAGAACCTGTGGAAAAAACGCAGGCCACCTACACCTCTGTCATGGGATAATTTGCCAGGAAAAGGTGATGCACCAAAACAACATTCTGGATTACCTGACCAGAGAGTGTGGTCCGTAAATGAATGTGCTGAGGTAATTATACATTGTTGTATATCCAAAAACCTGCTTTATTTAATTTAATTAAAGTTGTAAGATATATTAGGAGTATCTTAGTTTATTGTCAAAAAGTTTAGATTGAGATAATTTCCTGGGATTATAAACTCCAACTTTAGCTCATAGATAGTCGCAAAAACATGTCTTGGGTGTTAAGTGTACCCTCTGGGTAAAGGAAGGCATGCCTAAGAGTGTCCTCCACCTCTGCATGTTTCCTTTCTGTATCTCATTCACACTTAAAATAAGAAATACGAAAGTTACCACACAGTACGAAACTATGAGCTATTAAGTTTGGATGGTACTATATGAATATATGTCAAATACATTGCATAAATCTTAAAAACATTTTTTGAATATTCTCTTTATATATAGGTGTTTGCTGCAAGTTGCCAAGCTTTGCAAACAGAACTTAAGGGACGTCCGGAAGGTGATCATCTTGTGTGGGACAAGGATGACAAAAGTGCGATGGACTTCGTCACCGCGTGCGCTAACATACGAGCATACATCTTTAGTATACCTCTCAAGTCACGGTTTGAAGTTAAATGTGAGTAAATAATTCTAAAAGTTATATGCAAGTAATTGGTTTCTGCAATTTTCTTCCAATAAAAGTATCTTGAAAGAAAAATCTCGTAATGCAAAGGAAAAACTGATCTTCAGACATTTTCACATCGAAAAGTTCTAATATCGTTTATTTTTCTAAACAAGGGGAAACAAAATGTACAGTGTCTTGTACATCATTTATTTGCTTAACCATTGCAAAAATCCTATTTTATGAATTTTTGTATGCTCATCTCTCCTCAAACCTTGTTTCGAGTAATCTCCGAAGTGGCTGGATCTATTTAAAGGGTACTTTCCGTGGAATGTAGCTGATATGTGCAGGCAAATTATAGGCATTTTTGACCCGCTAACGAGGTCGCATGTGACCGCTAGTCACTAATACAATCGCTGATTCATTACGTAGATATGTATATTTATCCTGGCCGTTCTTTTCAACACAACTATAAAAATTTCAGGGGAGCAGTAAAATGAACGAACAGATGTTTTAAACAAAACTCAATGCGATCTCTGACGTTATTTACTATTGCAAAGATAGATTTAATTGCAACAGTAAATTACTTTTGTATAAGCAAACACATGTTTTGCATTTCTTTTACAAGACTTTTATTTAGGTTTGACTGTGAAATAACAATGCTAATGTCATCTTACATAGCATCAATCAAATGCTACAAAGTTTACTTTTCCTCACAGATAATTTAAATAATTTGGTTAATAATACTTTTATTTGTAGCAATGGCAGGTAACATTATTCCTGCTATAGCGACTGCCAACGCCATAGTCGCAGGACTTGCTGTGTTACGCGCACAAGGAATACTCAAAGGCGAGATTGAATCCTGCACTAGTGTTTATCTCAGACCAAAGGTCAACCACAGAGGTCAACTATTTGTGCCAGAAAGAAGTAAGTATAAATTGTAAAAAAAAAAAATTTGCATTATTGTTTTACGAAGGACTTGCACTGTCTTAAATTGTCTTATTTGTATACAATTTATACATACTTGTTATTAATTTTAATTCTATTTTTAGCTTTAACAGCACCAAATCCGAAATGTTATGTCTGCGCGCCTAAACCGGAAGTCGCTCTCGTCTGTAACTTAAAACATTTAACACTCAAAGACCTGACAGCCGCTTTCAAGGATGGTTTGAACATGCAAGCGCCCGATGCGACCGTCGAGGGCAAAGGCCTAGTGGTCCTCTCATCAGAACCCGGAGAGACTGATCATAATAATCAAAAGACTCTCGAAGAAATTGGTCTAAATGATGGTTGCGCTTTACTTGTTGATGATTTCCTTCAGAATTACGAAGTGAGAGTCCGACTTCAGCAAGAGGATGAGGAGAATTCGTGGCGTTTGGTGACTGATACGGATGCTCCAATGCCAGGGCCCAAGGAAGAGGAACCGGCTAATGGTTCGAACGGTGCTGAGGAACCGAAACCAGGTCCGTCCCGCACCCATCATGACAGCGATAGTGACATGGAAATCATTGATGAAGATGACAATGGTGAACCAATGGAAAAACCACCGAAGCGTAGACGCAAAGAGATGTCCGACGAAATCGTTGAAATATGTTAGTCGTTAATGCACATTTTTGTAGATGATTGAATAAGAACGATTTAATACAATGTTTCAATAAAAAATATACTTTTATATGTAAGTGAAATCTCCTAAAGAAACTCTGGTGTTTTAATTGTCAAAAACTTATTTAAATAAGTGTTTTTGAAAACTTTTCAGTGTTAATTAAATAAACGATAAAATATAAAAAGATGAAGAATTTGTATGATAGCTCTCGTTAAAATCAATTGCTTTAAATTGATTATATAATTAGGTTGTCTGTACAATTCTAAAAATGCTGTATGTTTTTACTATATGACCAGTCTTTCAGATGGTCAATATATACTATTCACAAGACACCTATTTCTATAATTCAGTAAAGGAATAAAAGCAACATTTCTGACTATGTTGTCTGCTTGAAAAATAGGAATAGGAAGAAGTCCAGTAACCAGTATGCAGGAAACTGAGAAAACTTTGTACTCCTACTAAACCTAAATCTAGGTAAATTTCCTGCACTAATACTTAGATTTATTCTAAAGTTAATTTTAAGTTATAAATGTACACTTTAGCAGATAAATGTTTTCCAACAATATTATTGGATAAAGTAAATTATAGCTTTTGTAACCATAGTCTACTAAAGAACAGATTTTTTACTGGTATAAAACATTTGTATGTTTGTCTCATTAATAAATTTTCAAGAAAGCAAGTTTTTTTTTATAGCAATCAGATATGCTTAAAATAATTGAATTAACCCTATATAAAATTAATTCGATGGTGTCCAGTGTGACGAACAACGTATAAAAAAATGTACTAAACTAGTTTAGAGAAAATTACGTAAGTATGACTTTACAAAAAAAACCGTATTTGCTACAAAAGATTTCGTCGAATTAAGGGTTAAATAAAATTTTTTATATTCAATGCTGGAGTCGTAATAAAAACATTTTAATGTCTAATTAATGTTTATTAAAACAAATACATAATCTTATTCTAAACATAAGTTATTAATTTAGCCGAAAGAGTCCAGCTCTTAGTATATTTAAGGGATTTTTTTCCCTTATAAAATTATTAAACAAATGTATCCATTTATAAATATGTATTAAAATAGACTGGAAAAAATAATGCATTTATCAACATGAAAAAAGCTATGTCTACATATAAAACCTGAATGATGAATAAAAAAGGAAACAATCACTTGTAAATTAATGCAACTCGAGATTTATTGCGCATAAAAAAGTTACAATTGCAGTAAATCATCATTTCAATGTATTTTCTACATTTTTTTAGAAAGTGACAGCAGTATTGTATATTGTTTTCAATGTTAATTTTTTTTAAATGTATTTCGTAACTGTTATAATAAATTACATGAAACTGTGCTTATACTTTAAATATAAAAAAATTCTACACTACACTTTTTCAATACATTTCTTAAAAGTTAACACTTGTCTTTACTAATAGTATTAGATTTGTATTCATCCAAAAAATTCTTTTACCATTAGAAAGCACAGAAATTATCGGTTTGTAAACTAATCTATATTTATAACTAGATTTTTTTTTTGTATCTTAATTTAAAAATCCACCTCAAAGAATTAAACATATGAGGTAAAAAATGAACACTAAATGCTTAACCCATTTAAGTAAGGGAGTTCCTTGTAGGGTTATCAAGAGAAATCTTAACTAAGAGACTTTTATATAATAAATAAAAACTCTTGAGTATATGATATCAAGAGGTAAAAATTAATTTTCAGGCAGCAGTCCATATTCGATGAGAAATCTTTGGACATCAGTGGCATAGAAATCATTGCCAAGCTCAGTTGCCAGTTGTACAAAATTACCAACAATCTGCCCACCTTTGTACACTAAAAGAGCAGGAACTCCATCAACACGAAAATGCTTGCTTAAACCAGCAACATCCGCTTCTATGCGACAAAATTTTATAGCAGGATAATCCTCCGCTAAAACATTCAGACAGCCATCCATAGTTGTACACGCTTTTGCTTTCCGATTAAAAATGTGAACAATAACTGTAACTTTGGCATCTTCTTTGTCAATGGCGTTCAAAAACTCATCCTTATTTGCTAATGTTTTTACTTGACCAAACTTGGGACACTTTTGTAATTGAGACATCAACTCTTGCATTCGTTGTTGGTGATATTTCATTAAGAATTCTTCATCTAAAAGTTCACTAAGTTCATCTTCCATTTCTTCTCTTTCTTTAGCCTGTTGTTCTTCCCTGTCAGTTTTTGCAGATAATGTTAATTTTTTTGCGAGAGCGATGCGCTCAATTTCCATTTCTTTGCGATTTTCTGCTTCCAGTTGTTTATATCTACGCCAGTCTTCCAAAACACCCTTTGGGCCAGTATTGCTAGCCGATCCATTCCAATTGTTAATAGGCGGTGGTTCATTTGCTTGTTCGGTTGACTTGTAAGAAGTTTCACCTTCTTCGTCACCACTTCTTTCATCGTCATCCGAATCTTCGCCTTCGCTACTGCTGCAATAATTATGAAGCTTCTCGCCGAGTAATTTATCATCTAAGGTAGCCATAATATAACCTTATTGTAATTTAAGATTGTTTAAAAGCACCAGCTCGCTTAAGTAATTACTGTAGCTCTACAAGCACTGTAGTTTAATTGAATTAAAGTTTAAATATAGAACACCCATACAACTTGCTATAGCAGCGAATAAAACAAACTGACTAACAGAACGTAAACAAGGTGCGCTTCACTGCGCAACAATTTGAAATTTGTTATTTTTATGTATTCTGCGTTCTTTTGGGGCTTGGGCGATTCTCTCCTTCGTTTGACATTTATGGACGTTTGCGTCACGTTCATGCTTCACGCGCGTCATTTAATCAAAAACAATAAAATACGAGAAGATATTACAAAATTCGCCACAATTTTGTTAACTAAAAACTCTAAGGATTATCAATGAAGATTTAAACCTATGTAATTTATTTTTATTGGTTGGTTTTATACCGTGAACCGTGAAGACACTTGCTGCAATAAGATAAGCAAAGCATTGCACTGGCAACATTTTTAAAACGAAAAAACCAAATGCCAAAACTTGGCGGCGTCTCCATCTTATAGGTTATAATTTGTTGTAGTAAGTTATTTTTAATACTATAACTTTTTAATGAAAATGCAAATACTTTGCAATTATTGTGATAGAAGTTAATACATTTATTTCAATTTACAGGAAAACATTATCAGCGAAAATGGCGGCGGCTATGCCCATCAACCCAAAACCTTTCCTGAACAGCCTAACCGGTAAAGCTGTTCTTGTAAAACTAAAATGGGGTCATGAATATAAGGGATTATTGGTATCTGCTGATGGTTACATGAATTTACAACTCGCCAATACTGAAGAAATTGTTGATGGAAATTGTACAGGTTAGAATTGTTTACTATAAAGATAATGAACATAGATTTTATTTTAAAACTTTAAAGCTAAGGAGTTTGGTTTAGGTTTTATACCTCAATAAAGGAAGACCTTAATTTCAATTCAATAATAGTGTATAATAGTTTAAAACAGCATAGCATCAAACAAATACAGCAGGAGTAAGTGTGGATTAATTTTCGTTTTATTTACAGGTAACCTTGGAGAAGTTCTGATCAGATGTAATAATGTTCTTTATGTAAGAGGGGCAGAGGAAGAAGATGAAGAAGGAGAAATGAAGGAATGATGCTAGCTATACAAATCATAGATTTAATTTAGTTGTAAGGTTGTACTAATTAAATAAACATAAGTTTTATTTAAGAAAACTGTAATTTTTTCATAACATCTCTCTTTCTATATAAATATCTCATCCCCCAGGTTGATCTATCTTCCAACATTTCAATACGAACTCCCTTCTCAATCTTCACTTCCTAAGCCTACCCATAGTGGTGTACTCCTCTACATTTAAAGCGTAAAACATTCCCATTAAAAAAATACTTGATATTGGAATATAATTGTGAATATGTGATACTGGTGAAGATTTTTTTATAAGCAAGATTGTCATTATCTTTAGAAATAAGACAATTTCCGTTTTATTTACATCCCAAGCTTTTGCATCTATGCTGTTAATCTTCATTCTAAATTTTTATCATTGTGAATAAAATAATTACTCTTTCATTATTGCTGTTTTCTTTGGAGCATGTAATAAGCATTGTATTATAAAATAATGAAAATGGCAAGATGTAACATTTCTTCATATAGATGAGATTTTAGCTGTGTAATATTAAAATCTATTCTCACTAGTGCAAAAAGCTTTATGTGGAATGAGCATTCCAAAGAAATAAGACAAATTTTATTTTTTTTATTTTTATTTCCATCAAATATTTACAGAGACCACAACATTAATAGTAACATGATATTATTAGAACAGATTCACTAATTTATTTTGCAACTTGAAATTTTAAAGCACTCTAAATATTTTACGATTTTATAACATGTAAAGTGCGCGAAATATTAAGAAACAAAAAGTATATTATTTACTAAACAGTTCTAATGTCAAAAACATCTAGATTTTAAAAGTTACATGATTCACATTTATTACTAATAAGATAAAAATTGACAAAATCTGTTACATTGGAAAGTCAAATTTTAATATTTTTTTTGCTATCTTGCAATGAATACCAATACTATTAATTTTTATATAATATTACACAAAAAATGTGTACATAGAAACTATTAAATACATAAATGTCCATAAATAATAAATTAATCTAAATTAACTACTATTTAGATAAACAACAACACTCACTACAACATAGTTTGAGACTAATATTGCGCGTTTTGTTTCATCCTAATTGTACAAAGACAGTAAATATGAGAATAAAGGCGGATATTATGACGTAACTACTATGTAAAATCTTATATTAATTGATATTTAAAGATATTTGAATGTATCCGACTCGAAGGACCAGATTGATTTTGTTTCCTTAAAATCTTTGATTTTTTTTTAATTTAAATCACTAATAAGTTACGATTTATTACTTTGCCCCAATTCCTGAATTTGTAATAAAACTTTCATATTACCTTTATATCATTTTTCTCTGGTCCCGAAATAATATGGTTTTATTTAATGCTGAAGTTTTGAATTGTCATATATGCATATAAATTTTTCTTTTAAATTATAAATCCATTACAATATTTTAGGAACAAAAAAACTACCGTGTAAATGTAAAATATTTTAGCAGGAATATCTAGAATTTTATGAAGAAATTGGGGTCAGTTTTATTCGAAAACTACACAATGACTTAAGTATTATAAACATTTATTGATTACTAAAACTACACTACCCATATAAAGCAGACGAAACATCCTAACATTACTTTAGGTCAAAAAATCCGTTGTGACAAAAATAGAGCTTTGTCATTGTGCGTCATAACTAAAAAAAAAGAATCATCACTTCAGTGTTGCCAGGTATAAAAAAATTAATACGAAAGATCTCTAACAGACTTAAATCATAAAGTGAGGAATATATTTATTTCTTATTTTGTTCTGAATAATCTAAAAAAATGTAAATGCAAGAAATCAACTACTTTTAACCTTATACTTAAATGGAAACATCATTAATAAGTGAATTCGAGTAGAAATCATTCTAAAATCCGTTATCCTTTATGAGGTATATCTATTTTTTTTATCAATTAAATAAATACAAAAATTATAACAAAAATAATAAACCTTAGTAAATAGACTCATAAAATAAATATTGATCAGTTTTGAAAAAACTTTTCTATCTTATTAACGGTAGGTTTCTGACATCAAATTATCTGCATAAAACATATCGTCATCCCTCTCATTATCATTGAAAAAACAGAGACAACATGATTTAAACGGAGCCTTTGATATCAGAAACCCACGATAACTGTCGTAAATAAACATTGTTCATTATATTCTAGATGTAAAGAAACAGAATACATTTAGTACCATATTTGATAATTAATATATCATAAATTTCAAATGACGAAATATAATCGAGATTTATTAATAAAAATATGCCGTAATAGCAACAAATCTTCTATCAAGATAACTCTGTTCTATTTCCACTGAACCGCCAATTGATTTCGCCAAAGATATTATCTGTAACAAATATTAGTCTAGGGATATTATAAACTGACGGAATACAAAATTTGTATTTGTAATTAAGAACAAACTTAAAATATATAAGAATAATTTTTTTTTAATTTGTCATTTCAATTTAGGAGGAACGTTTGGTTCTGAAAAATGGCCGACTGACAGTAGGGTTATGTTTACCGCGAGTAGAGTTTAGATCAGTGGTTCCCAAACTTATTTTGTCTACTGCCCACTTTAAGAATAGATATTTTTTTTAGCTCCCCCATATTTTCACTTATTTAAAAACCACTATAACTTCTAATTAAATTAATTAATTATTGTTGTTGAGAGTCGAGAGCTCATGCAGTCGTTGCTTAAGAGGCCTCCTAGCTAAATAAAATTACAAATCACCCCCTTTGAGACCTGCAGCGCCCACAAGGGGGCGTTATCGCCCACTTTGGGAAAGACTGGTTTAGAGCGAGAGTTCAAGGGCCTACAATATTTTCCTCAATTATAAAGGTTTCTCTCTTACCTGACTTTCTCGCTTATGGAGTTCGTCCATCAAGTGTGAACAATGCTTCTTTAAACTTTGAAATTATAAAGGTTCCTCGCTTATCTTTATAACAATAAAGTCAATTTGCTGTTTTTTTTAAATAATTTCTAGTTTACATACCTGATCTGTTTTGGTGTTCCTAGGTAAGTACAAAGCGATGTTGGATGTAATTTTCCTTGCAAACTCCAACAACTCTGATGCCGGTTTTGGTTCCAACATTTTTTCTATATCATATTTTTGATTCTAAAACATAATATATAAAATGAATAATAGGAACGAGAATGAGATGATAAATAAAAAAAAATCAATTTTAATAAATTCTTCTCATACTAAAAAATTCTGATAAGATAAAAATATCTTAATAATAGAGAAAACATAAAATTAGACAATATTAAAAAGTTTTTGTAGACAAACCTGTGAGTAATTAGGTCCGCCCCATGGTGGGCTCAAAAACACCATTTCAGCCTTGAGTTTTGAGGCCAACTCGAAGAAGTCTCCCACTATGAACTCAATATTCTCCACTCCGTACACTGAAGCGTTGTGTCGCGCCATCTCAATCTTAGACGGGTCTATGTCTATTGCTATTACTAAAAAAATAATTAAATATTGCTTTATTCAGCACATGTCAACATATTGTTTTCTTATTTTTTTGTGATTCCACACTGAAATTTTGTAGGGTTTGTTTTTCTGGATAAAAGTCAAGTTTTTATATATTTTAAAGTCGGAGGAAAGATATGGGAAGGTGGGAGATATCATAAATTTTATCCTAGTTTGTTTTGACCATAGTAATCTATGACTTTAAGGTCTTACCTTTATGGCAAGTCTTGGCAAACTGTATGGTGTTGCCACCTGCACCGCAGAAGGCATCCACCACTGTGTCAAAGGCAAACTTGTCTGCAATGTGCGCCGCCACGTTCTCCGGAGTCACACTGAACCAACTCTCACGGTCCAGTATTATACCTTCATCAAACCTTGAAATAATAATAAAAGATGTAGATGGAAATCATACTTCTTACTATACTAATAGTTTGGATGGATGGATGTTTGTTAGAAGGTATTTCCAGAACGGCTGCATGGATTGTGATGACATTTGGTAGTAGAACACAGTTTGGAAGAACACATCGGCTTCCTACAATCCTGGAAGTATGTATGGTTCTCGCGAGATACATTTGATTTGCATATTTATTTATTGAAATTTGGCATGAGTAAGGAACATATCCTTAAATAACACAGAGTACTAATATTCATTCTGATTTCTTTAAGATATAAATAAAGGTTAATATTACCTGTGGAACAAAGAATGTCGTTTCTTCCAATATTTCATCATCTTTCGATCACCTTGCAGTTCTGGTGGCATGTCCGACAACACTTCCCGTGTGTCACATTTCGCGTGACGTTTTTGTCTCTTTCGACGTTTCGTTTGACCTATTTGTAACAAAAGGAAACAAAATGATTACTTACGAGGTAACGCAAATATCAATAAATGTGTGGCTACGGTGACCACACTGACCAATAATTCTATATTATTAGTCCTATCCATACCATCAAAAGGAGTTGACATCTGTATATACAACAACCTACAACAGTTAATATTATATACACCAAAAATTTGCCCCATTGATATTATTTGCAATCATTTGTTTGACATAAAAGTACTTCCCTGACTTTCCAAACCCTAGGTCCAGTATAAGATAGTAAATAAAATAATAAATAGTCAAATTGAAAATTGATCTGTTTTAATAATTTTTTATGGTCAATATTAATATTAAAGTGATATTTACCTGAACAACAGGCCACATCATCAGGACATTTATCATCTACCTTCAAAGGTAATGGAGCAGAAGCTGCTTCATCTAAGTTCATTTGATTCTCATCACCATCTTTGTCATCATCATTGTTGTCACTGAGTTCCGTAACAACATTATGTGTAGATAATTTGTCATTATCTGTTTTTACATCCACAATATCCTCGTCACTCACTATTTCTTTGTCTTCTTGTGATTCCTGTTCCTGTTATAAATAATAAATCTTCAAATATCTTACTAATATTATCAATGCGAATATTTGCATGGCCATCCATGTTTGTTTGAAGGTATCTCCAGAATGGCTACATGGGTCTCGCTGAAATTTGACATAGATGTAGAACATAGCCTGGAAGAACACATAGGCTACTAATTGGTCTTTTTAAATTCCGGGCAGAGGGAGTCGCGGGCGACAGCTAGTGTTTCATAATTAGAAAAGCGAGAGTCCCAGAGATCACGACGATTTTGTCCCTTATAGACCTGACAATGATTCTCGCTTAATTTTAAATCAAAAATTCATATTGTTGACCTTATTAAAATTAATTAAAATTTTCTATTACCATGTAAGGATTCCCATCGTCGTCAAAGTAAGTTTTCTTTGGCGTTACAAATTTCTTGTATCGCGGAGGTCGGAGTTTTCCCAAACGTTTTTTGTGTATTAACTTTCCTTTTGGTATACCCCCTGCATCTATAGCGAAACCCATTATTTCAAATGTTGACTTTATCCTTTCAACTGCTACTTTTTCTTCTTCCTCAATTTCATGACTAAAAAAAATTGCACAATTAAATAATTTGTAACTAATTTTATGATACAATACTGTGTAGACAGATAAGTCAAAACAATCTACTTTTATGTCAAAATTCTATAAAATTGGAAAATAACTAATCGAATACTAATGAAATTTAACAGAGATAGAAAATGTATGTTTGTCTTCTTTTGTGAAATTGCTATAAGAAAGTGTGGTATTTGTATTACTTTTGTTTGTTGTATAATTTACCTTGATTTTAATACCACGGGCTTTTCCTCAGGTGGATCATCATCTCCATTATCATTACTACCTTGTTGTGGATTATTGTTAGTTGGATGTAAATGTAACTCAATGGCTGTATTAGTGTTTGTTGAAGTCGCACTTTCACCTACAACCTGTGAATTGCTGCTACCATATACTTCATTAGCATCAAATACTTCATCTAAATCTGAATCTCTATCCACTTTTAGCAAAGTCTGTAACAACAATCCAATAGACCCAACAAATTTCCTGCCCTTTTTATTCATTGGTTCATCTGTTTCATCATCTAGTTTAATCTTATCAACTTTCTCTTGAACTTCAATAACTGATGCCATTTCTTGTGAATAACTTTCACTTCTATCCATTTCAACATCTCTGACTTTATTCTCTGGTTCATCCTCAACAACATTAATTGCCATATCTACAACATCTTTGGCTTCATGACATGCTATATAATTTGCGTAATGCAAAGCATATTGTTCCCCAAAATGTTTCTTCCACAAAAACTCCCAATATTGCTCAGTATCCATTTCTTCTGACTGATCTTGGTTATCATCAACATTTAGATTAGCAATTCGAGTTTGATCATTAGATTGGTCATCTGATGGTGACGATGACACACTATATTCATCCGTCGATGTTGATTCTGATGTCATATGGCTTGATGTGACATCATGACTTGATAATGTCATCTTTGTAACATTTGTCATTGAATCTGTGCCAACAAATGTTCTAGGACTGACAATTCTTTCATGTTCAGAGCAGGACCGTCTCCTACTTAAAGGTAACCAAGCTTCATCTTTACTGTATGTTGATTCACTTGATTTATCAACTTTATCTGATCCATCTTCAGTTTTAAATTTCTTGTATGGATTTACCTTTGAATCATAAGAGAATTTTCTCTCTCTCACACAGTCATCTTTGGCTGTTTGAGTCTCAGTTTGTTCCATATAAACAGGGTCAGATGATTGCGGTTTTGGTATATTATTCTCATCTAAGACCAAATCATTATTCTCATTTAAGTATGATGGATTAATGTAGTCACTATACTTCTTTATCCATGACGCCCATATAATTCTCTCTCTATTTATAGCCCAGAATTTATCCCATGTGTCTTCGGATAAGTAGTTTTCATTATTATCATCTTGCATTTCAAAATCATGATCTATTTTATCATGGTTAGTGATATCAGAGTGGTAGTCTTGGTATGTGAGATCTGCCCCACTGTCACTTGGTTGGATTGCGTTGGATGGTGTGAAATGCAGCTGAGGATCATGTTCATCAGTAGAACAATAATTTTCAGTATGAGATGCACTGCAGTAACAACTTGCACTTTCATTCTGAAAATTAGCCATAGCAATAACAAAAAATTCAATTCACATTCGTAATTGGAGGGGTGTTAAAGAATATATTTTTACCTCGCTTTTAATCTTACAAGATGTATCCAGAGAAAAATGAACATGTGATTGATCTTCTATATCCTGTGAGTAAGAATCACGCAAACCGTCAACTTCGCTTCCACTGATTTCTTCTCTATCAACGTAATATGCTTCATCTCTGCGAATAAAAACACAAAATTTACTACTAATTCATCGATGTTACGAACATACAAGAATGTATTGATTTTTTAGCTACTGTATTAACTCCGTTAAGAGCTACTTTACAAATACCAACCTTAGGTATACTCTGGTACAGAGGCAGTAAATATATTTCCTATTATTTTCAAACGTTATATTCTCGAGAAGATCAAAATTAAATTCGGCGAGGGGTTCCCAACGATGGTAATAACTACGGTAATGATCATAATATTCCGACATAATTACAGAAACCTGTCAATTTTTTATATTAAGAGGATACAAAAGGATACTTCTAAGTGATAGGACCAAAATAAGGGAATTGGTTTTATAAACCTGTTGAAATAAATAAAAATAAATTAGTCTGATTCTACTAAATAGATTCCTCAAAATCGAAACTCGAGACAAAAAACTAAAATGACAAACGTATACCACAGATTATATAAGTTGTAAGTACCGCTCCTTGTATTTTAAGGCAACTTTACTGTTATCTGTGCAAATCTAGATCTGAATTTGTTTTGTCTATGGTTTTGAAAGATTGAAATTAAATATCAATAAATGTCAATGTCAGTGTCAGGTGGCAAAGCATGTATGTCGTTTATTTGTATATCTTTCTTATTTAAATATTATTTAAAATATACGTAAAATTTATACATCTTCTCCTAAAATTTAATTATCTTATGTTGAAATGGGTAAGAAGAACAAAGATTCTCTGGGACGGGCACTTATAAAAGACAGATTTTCAAAAAATCGTCATCGCCGACATGTGGAAGACAACACAATGGTATATAACAAACTGTGATTTTTTATTAATTTACTATGTTTTATTAATAATACGATAATTTTTGGACATGAATAAAATGTATATATTAAGGAAAGATAATATAAGTAATTCAGATATTTTTGTTTAAATTAAGGAGGTTATTCTCCATTACATTTACATATAATAAGCAATATTTCAAGATGAATGATAAACATGTCTTTACAAGATTTACAGGAAACCCTTACATTTTGTAATCACCCAATTATTTCACTACAGATAAAAAATTCATCTACCTCAAATTAAAAAATATTTTTCTAAAATAATACTTTCAGCTGCATACTACAGAAGTAAATGATGGATATGAATGGGGTCGGTTAAACCTGCAGTCAGTGACAGCGGAGTCATCACTACAAGAGTTTCTCTCCACTGCTGAGCTAGCACAAAGGGAATTCATTGCAGAGAAACTTAATGTGAAATATGTTAAGTCAGCACCTGCTGCCGTCGAACTTGTCACTTCACAACCTAATTTTGATGAACCATTGACAGTACCAAGAAGGTTTGTGTTAGATTTGTAAAAGAATTAGATGGTTAACACTATCTTGTGTCATTTCAATACTAATATTTACATAAAGTTAAATCCATACATGCCTAACCTTTACAATAATTTACTTTTTCAGCTATTTAGTAAAAAAAAATGCTTATCTTTTTATATTAAATATATATGAAAAATTTTGGTTTTGGGAAATATTTTGGGTTGGACTAATGTCTCAACAGTGGAAAACCGCACTAATATTTGATATAATATTCTAGGCCTCCATGGAACCCAAGTATAACAGCTGAAGAACAGATTGGCCGTGAAAGAGATGCATTTTTAGACTGGAGAAGGCATCTCAATGAACTGCAAGAGAAGCTTGGAGCTGCTGTCACTCCGTATGAAAGGAATTTGGAGTTGTGGAAACAGTTGTGGAGGACTTTAGAGAAATCAGATATAGTTATGATACTTTTGGATGCAAGAAACCCTTTGTTGTTCAGGTAACGCCTTTTACATAATTTTAACTCAGCATGAGTTAATTATCTTCTTTAGAGTCATGGTTGTGACCCTGCAAACTAACATTCTTTTCTTGAGTTGTTAAGAGCCTTATGTGATTTGTTATTAATATTTTTACAGATGTATGGACTTGGAAAAGTATGCAGCTGAACAAAAATGTAAATGTATACTTTTACTGAACAAGGCTGATCTGACAACAGAGTATGTGAGGAAATGTTGGGCAGAGTACTTTGGAAAAGAGGTAAGTTAAAAATTCAATCCATTTATTGTATGAAAGTTAACTCACCGGGGCAAGTTAAAAACATCTGTAATTATAACTAACTTTTGAATCTTAATATGATGGTCCCTATGTAGACTATTATAAGTCACAAATTTGGGATTATAGGCCTGTTTCATGTTTTATAAATTAACTTTTAGATAATGTTATTATAGAAAGAACAAAAAAAAATATTTGTCTATTGTATGTTCGGTGTTTGATGTGTCGTAATTAATCATATTAATATTTAAAGTATTGTGTTGAAAAAAATTGTGTTTTAATCTTACTCTAGTGTACATAGGAGCCATCTATTACATTAAATTTGTATTGAATTCTTTCAGGGTGTATCAGTGATATTTTTCTCAGCTGCGAAAGCATCGAAAGAAAGAAAAATATCCGAAGAAGATGAACCGAATAAAAAAAGACAAAGTATAAGTGAAGATAATTCAGGCACGGAAACAGAATCTGATGATGATTCCGCTATAAATTCCGAAGTTGATGAAGTAAATCCTTTGAAAGAAACAGAAGATGATATTGAAATATTTAAAAAGCAGTTAGGAATAATAGATGAAGCGGTTACAAATACAGCATCGAAGTTAAATAGAATTCAAGAAACTTTAGACAAAGTATTAGAAAATTTGAAATTAGGTAAACCTATCGAATTTCAAGAAGAAAAACAAACTGTAAACGCAAATGAAACAAATAGTAATACAGATGAAATACAAATGCAGAATTCTCATGAGATATTTGATAGAGAAAAACTATTGGATGTTTTAAGGAGACTGAAAACAAGAAATTTGAAAAATCCTCCGAGATTGACAGTTGGTATGATTGGTTACCCAAATGTTGGAAAATCAAGTTCCGTTAATGTTTTGATGCAAACTAAAAAGGTGAGAATAATATTAACTTTTACTAATATGATAAATACAAATGTTGTCATGGATGGATGGATGTTTGCTTGAATGTGAGAATAACTAAACGAATTCTGCAGATATTTGACACAGATGTAGAACATAGTCTGGAAGAAATAAGCTACAATTTAAGTTTCTTCTATTAATAGTCCCGGGTGTCATCTAGTGTGCACATAAAAATTTTACAATGTGATCTTTTGAAACGATCTTTAAGATTATAAAAAAAAATGAGATTTAATCCTACTCTATATTGTCTATAATTTTGTAGATTTCACACATCAAATTATGCTTTTTTTAAACAAACCAGAATTTAATTGATGGTCATATATTTAAATGAATCCAGGTGAGCGTAAGTTCAATGCCGGGTCACACGCGACACATACAATCCCTAATGCTGGAGGAGGACATAGAACTGCTGGACTGTCCCGGTCTAGTGTTGCCAGCTTACGCGGTCGCGCCAGACTTACTGTTGACAGCCGTCTTGCCCATTGATCAGGTTATATTTTTTAAACTTATTTGTAATTAGAATTGGATGGCTTTAAAAAATATTTTTTTTGGCTCACATGTAATTTTTTTCAAATATTTTCTTATATGATTTAATATATTAACAATTTTTTATCTATATTAATATTATAAAGAGGAATATTTTGATTGTTTGTTTGAATTGAAATGCTCCGAAACTACTTAACCAATTTGAAAAATTCTTTTACTTTTGGAAATCTATACTATCCTATGACACCATAGGCTATACTTTTTATTAGATTTTTAGGGTTCCGTACATCATAGTAAAAAAACGGATCCCTTATACGATCAATTAGTTGTCCGCCCGTCTGTCTGTTAACACCCTTTTTATCAATTATTCGCGGACGAAGTCGCGGGCAACTGCTAGTGACTTATAATAGGTTTTAATAATTTTCTAGATTACATGTATATACCAGTTTATTGTGATTTGCAATCTTATATCTCTGATTTGTCATAGAACTATTGATTGTTAATAATTTTTTTTTTGTTAAAAATATATTTTTATTGGTTGTATTTCTATGTTTGTGTAGATGCGTTCTCACGACGCGGCGATGGCTCGTCTGTGCGAGCTGGTGGGACGACACACCTTTGAGGAGAAGTATGGTTTGCTGCTGCCCGACCAACAGGAGGGAGAGGGCAACGAGTACAAGAAGATACTCACGGCACATGCTTGTAAGTTACATCTTACTAATGCGAATATTTAGATGTATGGATGGATGGATGTTTGTTAAAAGGTAATTCCAGAACGTCTGGAAGAACACATAGGCTATATAATTATGTTTTTTTTAAGTTCCGGAAACTGGTGCAAAAATGAGTAATTATTAAATGGTTTCTTCAGGTTTTTTGATTTGATTTTGTACAGTAAGCATATTTTACAGTCAACCGTGGCTTCATGTCTGCGGCGGGTCAGCCTGACGTGAGCAGGTCTGCGCGGCTGTTCCTGAAGGAGGCTGCGAGCGGCCGCCTGCACTGGGAGCAGCTGCCCCCGGGGTACCAGCCAGCACCTCTCAACTACAGGATACAAGAGAAGAGGAACGAGACTAGAAAACCCACGCCCCGGGAGACCAGGATGGTTGAAGTGAGTGAAAAACATTTAGGTGGCTCGGAAACTCACTTATAACAGTTTCACACGAGGGTAGAATACTGTGGTGGAAAATGATATTATTAATTACTCTTTCAGGGTTGGCGGAACACATCCGCGGAGATTGATAGTGCATTTTTCGCTATGAAAAAAAGTACGTCGCATGTCAAAGGAAAACCTATTTTAGGGTAAGTTTTCTTCGGTATCGCTTATTTTTTATCTGTTAACTTTTTTATCTTTATATTCAAACTTAAATAACTATTTAAGTATTGCTTCTCCTTTTCTATGGTTATTTTCTGTTTGTTTTTTTTTTATTTTAATTTAGAATCTAACCATAAACTATAGCAATATCTAAACTTAATCACTGTCCGAGTTATTTCATATTTTCGTGGTATTTTTTTAATATATCTTATTATATTTGTTACCAAAATGCTTTTATATTTTCATTTTCTATTATAAATGCGAATGTTTGTATATTTGGATGGATAGACCTAGATGAAATTTGGCATACATATAGAATATAGACTGGAAGACGATAGACTTATTAAGTTTTTTTTTAAATTCCGTGCAGACGGAGTCGCGGGCGACAGCTAGTATATTTATATATACGATGTACTCTGTCGTTAAATCCCTCCCTCCTCTTTAGCCACGTCATAAAATAGTTAAACTTTATGAATTAACGCTTGGCCGCGCTCCAGAACTCCAATTTCCTCTTCTAAAAGTTTATTTAGGTTTCCCTTTAACTATAATTGATAATATACCGTCGCGACTTCACTTTCATCTGTCCACTTGTTATCCAGTTAACTTTTATTAAATCTTATTTGTGAATACAGTTAACTATTGCAGTGTTATGTTACATTTAATCGTTTTCTTTTGGTTAAAAAAAGTTTAGAAAACATTGAATACTTCTAAATCGTATATAGTTTTCATACAATATCGTTCAAATTTAAATTTGTTTAATCCGCCCTTTTGTTACAATATATATAGATTCAGTGAGATGTTTATCGTACTATAAAATAATTTAATTTGAAATCTTCCAGTTCAAAAAATAATACACATTTTTTTTTGCTGCAATCTGTACTTTTTTGACTGTCTGTTTTTCTGACAGTACTTTACTGAGGTATACTTTCGAATTTGATAACCGTTCAAACATTTTCATTGGCGATATAAATCTAATCGTTTTAATTTTCATCCCCCATAATTATACGTTTATCATCAAGAATTTTAATATATTTGTTTATCTTAGGATAACAGGTGGTCAGTCTGCAGACAAGCCAGTTGTCGGCAAACCCTGGAAACAAGAGAAAAAACACGCTAATAAGAACAAGAGAGAGAAACTAAGAAGAGTCTATGCCCATTTGGATGAACATTAAACTATAACTGAAGAAGAAATTTAAATCAAAGATGTAGCGAGAAAAAAATTAGATTTGTATGAGAAGAAAAGAGAAGATAAGAAAGAGAACTTTATTTCATCAGAGAAACGGTCACGACCTTTTTAATATTTCTTAAATTCTCTGTCAAATTAGTATAAATGTAGGTCTATTTAAAAATGTTGCTATACTTTTTCTTCATCATATTACTGTAATACCTAACTTTCCTATATGCATTTGTTTGTAAATATTTTTGGTATATAAGGATATAATAAAAGTATATAATCTTTTGTCTATCAAACTGTTTTATTTACCTTACTTTATCTTCATACATTAACTTACCGACTATTTACTCTTGTACTGGTGAAATGAAAAGAAAGGGATACAAGTAGGAAAATGAAACAATAAAATAAAAAAAAACTTACGCTTTTATTTTGTTTTTGTTACTAAAAAAAATTTAATAAAATTTTTTTTCAAAATCGGAGCACCAGGGGCGGAGTGAGGCGGTAACATACAAACGAATTGATAACCACCTCCTTCTTGAAGTCTGCTAAAAAAGATACAATTTATTGCGTGTTTATGAAGTAAAATGAGACGAAAAACACTTGGTGACCTAAAGATAATTTAAAACTTGTTTTTATGCTCCAGAATAGATGTTCTAAAAAACATTGCATTTTTAAAGGAATTTGTGTTGTGACCTAAATTAATAATATTACTCATTCATGTAAATGAATGAGAGGAGATTTAATCTTAATTAAGTATGAAAAAACATCCAAAACAATGTTTTTACTACTTCTAGTTATAGAAACATGCCCACGATGAACCTTACAAAGCAGACTAATATTTCAAATATCTTAATAAATTTAACGTACGTAAATCAAAGGATGACGTCAAGAAAAAAGCAAAAAAAATAGCTAGTTAGCGAAGCGTGAAACGAGCAATGCCGCGAGAGTAGAACAGTCATCCGTAACATAAACATTTCTCCCCGGCTAGTTGCGCAAATATGCGGGGAATTCTTATGGCGTAATACTGCCCCGAATCTCTTGATTTACAACGCGGTCGCTAATTTAAGACAAGTGGTCGGATTTACGTTCGCAAGTCGCGCCGGTCGACAAGCGAACACATTTCCGCGGTTCGCTCAAAGTTCAAATCTCTGTAAAACATGAAACTTTAGAGAGGAAATCAAAGATCACAGACGATATAACGCATCCTCTATTATGTTTAATTTCCGTTCAAACTTTTCAACAGATCTCATTTGTTTGCGTGTTAAAAAGAAAATGTAAGACGATTTCTAACATATTTTGATTGAAATCTTTTCTTTTTTTTGTACGATAGAAATAATGGTTTGTTAATAATTAAAGTAATATAATATAACTACATATTCCTATGTTATATTTAAATATGAAGTTCCAAAAAAATAAACATAAATTAGCTTTGTTTTTTAGGGCGACGTGTTCTAGGAAAACATTGGAAATTAATAGCTGCGCAACACATTCTCTGTCATGTCTGTTTAGAGTGTCATCGACATTGATGTTCCAAAACAGTCACAGACACGAAGGGTCATCCTTACCTTGAGGTAAATGCCCTTCTTTATTAACATAGATTATTGGACGATAGTTTACTGTGTGACACAACAAAAATAAGGGGAGTAATATTGTTGATATTTTTGCTTTTGTATTTATGCCTGAATCTTTTAGAGATAAAAATGGAAAAATTAGAAGGTTAAAATTAAAGTATAGAATAATATTTTCTTGCAACCATCGCAAGCTACAGAGCAAACGAGAACATGGAACATAATTATTTGATAAACATATAGAACTAATAAATAAACAATCCCACTTTCGAAGAGATCTGGCACAGACTAAACAGAGGTTTTAGATTTAGAAAATTTATCTGAATTTCGCTGCGTCTTATAAAATGCTCGAAACGTTTCTTTGAACTATTCAAACAGACTTCTCCATAGTGAAATATTTCACAGCTGTTGATAGATAGGATGGGCGCGTTGTAATCGTGGCATACCTCAATTCGTTATTGTGCCACCGGGAACTGTTGTTCTGAAAAATTACTTCTTTAGATTAAAAGATAATAAATTCACAGCAATAAATTGTGCAGTGTCCACTCATTCTTTTCAATTTAAAACAATTTTTAGAGGTAGATTTCTGTAACAGGAATACTGGGATTGTATTGTTATAAATTACTGGTTAATTTAAAAATATAATTGCAAACGTACTAAAATAACATGGGTACAACATCGTAGGTCACATGTCCAAGTCTAGGAAAAAACTTTTGATCGACGTAACACTGAATTGTAAAAAGAACTGCGACATTTACATAAAAAACAACACAATTAATTTATTACAACAGAATATTGAACTTTATAAAAATACAGTTTTAAATTTCTTTAGATGTGTTGAATTTCTTTTTATCTTGGCATCTTCTATGACAGGACGTCGACCTCGGAGTAAGTTCTCATAAAGGAGACCTTTTCACTTTGCTGTTGACATATTGTTACGCATCAGCAGCAAAGCGGAAAAAGACAGTTTTATGAAGAACTTTTGCTTCTTTCTTCTCTTCTCTAGTTCTCTCTTCTTTTTCTTGAGGCCTATACTAGCTACCGTACTCAGAGTCTAAAAGTTACCAAAAAGTCCTTGATTTATGTTAAGAAATCTACATTTAGTGATCGTATAAATAAGCTACTTTGGATGTATTTAACTAAATTACGAGTAAATTGTCGATGAATAATTGTAGCTTTTAACAATGTAAGGAGTAATTTCATATCCTTAAAATAACTGTTATTATTATAATATCAAAACATGCCCTCGTTTTACATTATATTGTTACAATATTTTGTATAGTTCAGAAGATGCGGAATTTCATGCGCGTCGGTATGTTATACAGAAATAACGTAAACAATTTCTGTTTATGTAAATATTCTCGCGATCTGCTGAACGTGAAGGACGTATGCTTGTTTCACACGAGGGTTGAACAGTAGAAGTTCAGCACGGCCACACACTGTGAGTGCATTCAAACAATGGAAGGCACTAGGTCCTAGAGAAAGTTTAGTGCCAAAAACTCATCTATCTCGACGAGAGGCACTCCTATCGTGGTTGCATCTCTCACAGTTTAAGTAAGTTTAAGTACGATGCGACAAAGATTTTGCGGCACTTTCCTAATTCAACCGTTTTTTTAATGTCTGTGAAAGCGTAACTCCGCCCCTCGAAAGGTTTTTAATATTGACAGTGGCTAATGAGCTTTGTGTATTAAAAATGGGTTTGACTTATGCCCACCGGGTCAGATGACTATCGCTCAGTACACTTTAACTATTGCGGTCTGTCTGCTCTCCCTCTGTGTGAAACTAACATTACGAGTACTAACGAGTTAGCATGGATGCTATCCACATGTCTGGGTTCGATACCCGAATGTTCTTTGTAAGTATTTTTAAACAATCTCGCGTGTGTGATGTTAGATATTTTTCTAAGAGTTTTTTTAACGAAGGGGAGTTTTATGTTTAGATCAGTTTCTCGAACATTTTTAGAATTGAAAATACTAGTTACTATGTTCTAGTTAAATTTAGATGAAAAGCTTAAATATAAATATTTACAAATGTATTTGAAAATGTTAAATAGATGAATCGGTAATGTGCGACTTACTGATAATTTCTTGGTAATTTTAAGAAAAATACGTATTTCGTTTTCATTACAATTTCGTTGGAAGTTCAAGATCGAAAATGTTGATGCATTTTAGAACTATTAACAAGTTACTTTGTCATAATAGTTATTAATTGTATTTATATCTATGTTACTATGTCTTTGTGAATAATAGACGAAACTTTCATTGACTTATCTTGAATGCCGTGACCAACGCGTTTGCGTCGACGAACTAAAAGTAAATTTCCACAGACCGCAAATTTCGCGTAAACTTGAGACGTTATCGGGAAATATTTGGCATACATTTTTATGCGTTTTTTAATTATATTTTAACAACCACTTTAAGCACTTTTACAGTTTCACTTTCTTTTATATTGAATAAAAATAGAGCACGTAAGAAATACATAGAAAATCTTCTGAGTATTCCGAAAATGACTATGGATGATAGAGAGAGAGAGATACAAAGAAAAAAACATCTCGACGCATTTAACGTGAAAATAAAAGATAAAGTAAATATTTCATTATGCATCAACTGTATTTATGTAACTGTATATTTAAAAATCCTACTAAGTAATGGTTTCACCAAACCACATGAATTGATATTTTAACGATTATTACGCCAGATGTAGCATTTGCTCTCATGTGGTTTCAAAACAAAGTTTTATTATACGAATCATGACATTTTTGCACACAAATAAACCGTTGTAAAATATTTAGAGAAAACAAAGCGTTTTTATCACCTGTATCTATCGACACAGCGACACTTTTATAGCCCGCCAAAATTATCACCATAGACAAACGTCACCGCGGAACGGAAACTTTTTAACATAAACAAAAGACTTACGTGACATTTACGATAGATTTAAAAGAATTTATAATCTGTCTCGTAGTGATCTGTAACAAAATAAAACAGTGTTAATTTCCTTAATTCATATTAAGCAAAATACTATCTAACCTCTTTGGTGTCTATGTAATAGTATGATGATAGTTCAGATTAAATTTATAAGTAGATTCACGCGAAATAGTTCAAGTAGGTCCAGTTCAGTTTACCTTTGTCTTGTTAAAAGTACATTAAACAAAATTAAAGCGAAATTATAAATCGTCTTGTTTTATATTTTGGTATCCCTCGCAATGACGTAGATTGCGTGCGGTGGGCGGCTCTGATTCACTCAGGCACGGCAACTCCGCAGACGCGATGGATTCTGCCAACACTCCACTAAAAAGATATTTTCGATGGCATAATTCAATGAAACAGATGAAACAAAGTTGCACGATATTTAAAGATCCCTGAATCCATGATTCTCTTTTTGCTCTACAGGGCAATATTTTTCACGGGTATTTGTTGTCTATTCCCTTGATCTCCTGCATCTAAACTGAAAGCACTTTAATTATTTTCGACATTAAGGTGTCATTAATTTTTTCTGTTTATGTAGTTTATTTTTTATTCTTTTTTTATATTACTTATATTTGAATCCCGGATGCCAGTAGCACCGAACCGATCATCGTGGTAATCTTTGGGGAAGGACTATGCCCAGAAGTGGCCGTCATATAAGTGAAAAGAAGAAATATAAGATAACGTTTAAATTAACACAAATAGTTTGTTACATTCTTGAG